TGCTGCCAACGTGGCTACCTCGTGGCAGACACGTTGATGCCACGTCAAATGGGAATTAAATTTTTTTTTTTACAAGTTTACCCGGCTTATATTTACCATCTTCCCTCTTCCCATCGACCTAATTTCTTCTCTTCTACCCTTTCTTCTCCTCTACCCAGCCAAAGTGTCGAACTTGGTTTGCTCGAGTGTGGCTTTCGAAGACGAGGACGACAGGCTGTTGTGTTTGGGCAGGCGCATATGGAGAAGTAGCGAGGGCGGGGCTTGCGTTGCGTCGGCGTGGAGTGGGTGTCGTGGTAGTGGCAGTGAGGAGCCACGAGAAGCTGCGGTTAGTATTTGTGCTGGGGCGAGGAGATTCGACTGTGAAGACCCAAATTGTGAGGAATGTCAATCCGCCAAAAAAGAGCCTTACCATCTATTAGGTACATTAATTGTTGATTTTGGTAATTTAGGGTTTCTTTCAATTGGGGATTTAGTGTCCTGTTTTTGTGGCATTAATTCAAAAATGTCCATAAGAGGCTCGCAAAGCATTTCTGGGTCGAATTCATCAAACTCACGTACTGTTAAATGTTGGCAAAATATACCAGCTTTTGTGTATGTTTCTCGAACTGAACTAAATCCGGGGAGGCAGTTCTATTGCTGCCCTCATTGGCAGGTAAATGAAGTAGTAGTTTGTTATTTAATTGTGATTGAGATGAGCAATGATCTCACCATGGGTTGATTTCTACATGGCAGGATGAGGAAGAAAGTTGTCGTTTGTTCATTTGGGCTGATACTCTGAACGAAGATAGCGAAGGTGCTTGCTCCAATGGGGTTGTTGGAGGGAATGAACATATCAGGTCGAACCTAGGTTTGATGGACTTTTAGACTGAAAGCTTGAAAGAGAGTTTAAGGGTTGCTGAAGAAAAAGCAGTGCGAAGAAAGAAGGCCTTAAAATTGTTGTATGGTGATTTAGCTAGCATTAGAGAAGAGAATGCTAGGTTGATTGGGGATTTAAGGTTGGCCAATACTCGTCTGTTGTGTGTATTGGTCGTTTTAGCAGCCTTAGTTATAGGGATAGTTATTGTAGGTTTGAATTCCTCCAGCATGTTCTAATCTGTTCTTGTTGTAAGCAGTTGTGCGAACCTTGAATATGTTACTTATCTAATGGGATCTTTCTTTATATTTTAACGTGCATCTAGTGGCTATACCAGTTTGTGTGTAATACTTAAGTAACCAAAATGCAGGCAACATCAATTCACAAAAACTGGACATACCAAACTGGACATACCTAAATAGCTGCTTTTACATTCATATAAACAGATCATTACCAAGGTACCTAAAATGTCATCCCTTAAGGTACCTAAAATGTATTCACAGAAGTAGATAATAATGTCGATCCAATGTTTAGGAAATATACACCATTTTCATGGATCTACAGGTAACCTACCATACAAAAGGTTGATCCAACTTCAATGTCACATCTGAAAACGAATACCAAAGATCTGCTAGAGGTAGGCTACTATACAAAAACACATTCTACTTCCATCTAAACTACTGCCGAGGTTGAGAAGGTTGCGTGGCAGGTGGTTGAGATCCACCTTGATCTATCTCAGTAGGAGCTGCATTATGAAGGATCCTTCCACTTCTTAGCGTTCTGCCACGTCCATTAGCACCATTAAGTATAACATAGGTATTACCCAAATCAGTGTGCAATACTCCAATCACTTGGTTAGCCTGCACATTCGTGTATGGAGGTAACATATTAGAGCTATTTATCTTGAAAAATCACATAAACACCAAATATAATAGTAAGGCTATGCATTCTGATTATTCACATACCATTCTAACCTCCCTTGCTAAATCACGCCTGCTGGTCACTTCACGATTAACGAAGGCTTCCTATTAACACAACATTGCAGGAATCAGATTTCATATTAACATTCATTTCAATTCTATGCTTTCATCTCTCATTAGATTTACCTGGATTCCGCCAATTTAGGGACATGTCCTTGCGTTATGGTCATCTCCTCTGCATTTGGAACACAGACCTCTGGTCCTTCTTGCAGCTGGAGCAGCACGTCTAGTTGGGGCAGCTGATGCACCTGGACCAGATGGAGCTGGAGCAGCTGATGCACCTAGACCACCTTCATTATTCCCTCTCCTGCGAACTCTTCTACTTCCACCTGCCTCATCTCCACCCACATTTTATAATACATTGAAAATATCGTAATTAGCATGACATTCAGACCTCTTATATTGAAAGAGCTTGTAATTGACTAATGGACCTTACCTCTCCAGCATGAAGTTGTGGACAACGTCTCACGTTGTGATATGGAGATTTACACTTGCTGTAATGCATGACAATGGATTTCCTCCTGATGGCAACACCTCCAGCCCCATGACCAGTAGTCTCGATTTCTCCTGGTTGTCTCCTCCTCTGTTTTTTAGGGCGGTCAGGCAGAATCCTAAACTTGGGAGGGTATACAGGATACCCTTCAGCTTTTGGCCATGCCTGCTGGCCTTCCAAAGTAGGAATGCCATGTCTGTAGGCCATCTTATACACCTCGACCTTGTAATATTGGATCACAAACATCTCTGGTTCCAACCTCCCATATTGAAAACATGCAATTGAGTGGTGACATGGTATACCAATCAGCCCCCAATAACCACATGTACAAGATTTGTCTTCAAAGTCTACCACATATCCCTTTCTACCTTCTGCAACCTCGAACTTCTCTTCCAAACCGGGACTAACAACACACATCTTTGCCAAATCTATCCCAATCTTGAGCTTCTTTTCGATCCTAAGACAGAAAACGCTATCAACTCTTTCAATGTTCTTCATCTTGTCAAAAAACCTAACCATCAACTTCCGACGAATTCCCTCTAGCATGTCGATAATTCTGTCCTCCCTTTCCTCAAGGATGTAACCGTTAAATGTTTCACATATGTTGCTTTCCACCGAGTCACACCTTGGTACGTGGCTCATGAACGCTCTACAGAAGGTGTGTGGTTCTTGATCCAGAAAATCCTTATGCAAGCTAGGATCAACCCCACTAGTCTGAATGTCTTTCAGCTTCTTCAAATGATAATTATATTCAGGAACATTCGTGGCATATGTTGCTGCCCAGTAGAGGTCTCGATGTTCCTTAACTCGGTGATTGACCTTCCAGTTGGCAAAGACATGTCGTGCACATTTCCTCTGTGAAGCTTCGGGTAAGCAAGTGCTTATTGCTTGCACTAGTCCCTAGGGAAACAAGATTAATCATGAGTTAGTGAAACATCATCGAGACTAAAAAACAATGAAACTTCATTGAGGGGTATGTATAGTACCTTCTGTTGATCAGATATGATGGTCCATCCACATCCATCGGTGGTCCTATGGTGTTGTTGAAGTATTGACATGAACCACTTCCATAAATCACTATTCTCTCCTTCTACAACAGCCCACACAATAGGGAACATCCGATTGTCACCATCTTTTTTAATTGCACTCAACAACATACCAGTTACTTCCCCCTTAAGGAAACACCCATCCAAAGCGAACATATGATTGCAGCCCCTAGTGAAACCCCTACTTAAACCACTAAACCCTATATACAGCCTCTTGAAAAGCACACGTTCAGGAATAGAACTTGGGTCAACCTCAAGTATGAAGGTTCCAGCAGGATCTTTCCTCTTTATTTCTGCCACATAGGACCTGAGCTTATTGTACTCTTCAACCAATGAGCCACCCAACATTCTCTTCGCATAAATCCGAGCCCTATAGCATTGCCTCCTGGAAATCTGAACGTTGTGTGCTTGCCTTATTTCAACCATCATGTTCTTGACCTTCCAATTCGGCTCCCTTCTGAACTATCGAGGTACTTTTTAGCAGCCCAAACATCATTTGCAACCTTCATTCTCACAGACCTAGGACATGTGTGATCCTTTCCAACATTCTTGATCATAAAGCAAGAACGCCCATGCCAACTTCCATAAACGTACCACCCGCAGTTGTTACGACATTGAGCACGCTTTTTTTGCTTGTCACTCCGAGTCCATCTCATGTCAGCTCCAATAGCAATGCAATGGTTTTCAACGACCTCCTTGAACTGCTCGGGGTTGTCAAATGTCATGTCCACAACCAACTTAAGGGCTGAATGGTCACACATAGGGTCATATCGAGGTCCGTTTTCTAGAGGGCTATCTTTGTCTTCGTCATCAATGTTCCCCCTCACGTGGCGTGACTCAATTGAACCCCTGTAGGCTGAATCATCCACAACCCTGTCCCTCAAGTCCTCATTAACACCCTCATCCGCACCAATGGTCTCACTGTTACCTCTGCCTAGGGCTGTCGGTTCGGTTCGGTTCGGGTAACCGAACCCGAAACCCGTGGAAACCGAAAAAACCGAACCCGCTCCCCTCACAAACCGAACCCGAGATGCTCATATGTGGGTTTCGGGTACTGAAACCCGAAATGGATGTTTGTGGGTTTGGTTCGGTTTGGGTGAAACCGAAACCGAACCGGCCTGAGTTTTTTTTTTTTTTTTTAGTTTTGTGATTTGAATTTTACATTGTACAAAACAATTATATTCTTATTATTTGTACATTCTTATTTTACCATTATGTTTAATTTTATGGGACATGGACAGTATAAAACTAATATTTACATATTAGTTTATTATTAAAATATTATTTAATTATTAAAATATTTAATTTTATGTATTCTATAACTATAGACATACTATTAACTATTAAAGAGTATTAGTAGTTTAGAGACAAAGTAAAATACTTAAACATATTTTATACGTAACTTAATCATATCTTATTTAATTGTGGATTTTTGTATAATTAAATATTTTAGTAATACCATAGGTCCAAAATTGAAGGTATTTCAACTATCATATGCAAAAAAATGTTTGGTGTTTGGCGCAAAATTATAAATAATTTTGTTCAACATAAAATACGACAATCATAGATGAGATTATCTTCAACTCGTAATTAAACACATTAGTTTTACAATTCTCAAATGATAACATCCAAATAAAATAAAAATTCATCCACCATACAAGATAAATACTACTACCATTATCACTCCTCATCAGGCTCTACATCTACATAAGTCTCATCATTCTCATCGGAATTGTTGTCGACATAGTCTTCTTCCACTTGTGACATAGTAGGACTCGAGACCAAAACATGGGTAGCAGGAGAGCTTCCACTGGGTCCTGCACGAGAGCTTCCACTAGGTCCTGCAGGTGCACTTCCACTCCGAGCTTGAAAAGCTACATATACTTGAAAAGCTACATATAGACGGTGCAGAAGTAGGAGCAGGATCGGAAGACGGTGCAGGAGCAGGAATGCTGGTACTCTTAGAGCGTCCTCCACGTTTAGGACGAGAAGCCGATGGTGCCTCACTTCCCCTGTCAAAATGCGTATTATTACAAGTTAAAATGCTTGGGTTAAAGTTCATTCATTAAGAAAACATATGCACATTAGGCAGGCAGGCAGCATAATTTATTTCACCTCCTCTAGTACAACAAATGCAAAGTAGCAATCGTGTCATGTACAGAGAGTCCCCATTTCTCTCCTTTCCAACCAAAATTAAGAGTAGCAACAACAACAACAAAAAAGGACATATATCGCCAAAATCGAAACAGCCACATATTTACATTACATGTCAAAAATATAATGATGATACTTTCCCCATCCAAAATAGAAAGGAAAATTTTGCCCAGCCCATACAAAACAAACTTCCCCACCCCATAAACAAACCAAGTAAAACAAAAATTGCACCACTACAGTTTCATAAGCTATACTTGCTTCACTAAGATTACAATCCAACTCTGTCAGCGCAAGTGTAGACAACTGGAGAACAAGCAATTACAAAATGCCCCCAAAAGTATACCTCCTAATAAACTGGTTGATAAACAGTACTCTGGAAAGAACTGAGGCTATTGCTAAGAACTGGCTTGTGTTTTTGGAATTCAACAATTGCAAGTCATGCTTAGTTTGGAGGATTCGAGTTTCGGGTGCGCATAACACCATCCTCATAGCCATCAGTCAATCCAATTCCAAGGTTCCAGAACTTCCAGCCAGCAATTGTACAAATTCATAGCCGTCTCTAAAACCAGAGTTTTGAGATATATAATCGAGCTTCACTCATCTTAGTTCTAGAGTTTTGACATTGCTATTCTCGACTGAGCCAAACAAACGGGAGAGCATTCAAAATTGTACTCGAAAAAAACCTTCACAAGTAATATGTTCTTCACAACGATAAAGATATGGATAGAATACCCTAGGCGAACCCAGAAAAAAAGCAGAGCAAGTTCTTGAAAAGGAGAAAAAGCTTGGAAACGAGAACAGAGCAGACCCATGGCGAAGAGACTCACTGGGATTCCATGGCGAAGTGCGAACTGCAAAGGGGTGGCGTCTCCTTTGTCGAAGCTTCGATCTTGATTCTTGAACGACGGCGACGGGGGATGAGTTCGCCGGCGACAGGGGGAGTCTCTGACTGGCGACTGCGCTGCAGAGTAGGGTTGGCGCTGCAGGGTAGGGTTGCTGCCGATCGTCAAGTGTGTGGGCAGTGTGGCGATTGGCGAATGGCGCGGCGAGATGCTCACAGTCACAGGCGACTGGCGAGGCCACAGCTCAATGTCGAAGAAAAAACCCTACAAACAAAACGACAGCGTAGAACTAAGAAAAATTCGGGTTTTCGGGTTCCCTCTCGGGTTTCGGGTTTCTGAAACCGAAACCGAAACCAAAAGTCACGGGTTGAAACCGAAAAAACCGAACCCATAGACACTGCTAACGGTTCGGGTTCGGCTTAAACCGAAAACCCGAAACCGTTTTGACAGGCCTACCTCTGCCTTCATCCACAAGTGGGTCACCATCAACAAACAAAGACTCTTGCTCTACCTCCTTCCCAGTTCGATCAACACGAGTACGAACTCGTCGTGGTCTGACTCCTTACTCCTCCATTGCATCAATGAAATCATCATCCAAAGTACGGATATCATCATCCATGAGATGGATAATGTCTCGGTTTTGTGAGTTATCCCCATCCTCCGAATCAACATCATCAGATAACTCTTCTCCAAGTTCTTCATTGTCCCCTATTTGAGTTTCTATTGCTTCCATGAATATCATAATTTCTCCATCTTCTATTGCTGGGAGCAAGCCATCCATCACCTCACTATCAGACCGTATTTCAACTAGACCATTATCCAAAGTGTCGGAGGGTGTCATGTACCACAGCCTCTCAACCCTTGCGTAATTGAAGTGGACTGTTCCAATTTGTTGGAGTTGGAAGAACGAGACATAATCTATGTCCATGTCAACAGCCGCTGACTTGCCATTTATGTAGCAAATACCATCACCAGAATATTTCATTTTCCCACCATGATGGACAATCAACTCCACCAATGTCGACATCCTGCAAAACCAAACAATCCCCCTTTAACAATAGCCTAAATTCATCGAATTCATACATTAAGCATACTTTAACCACCCCTAATATTCTATTCCGTAAAGCATTCCACAAAGCATTTGGAATACAACTTTGCTTCTGGAAGACCACAAAACCGATTCCCATCTCAATTGAATAATTCGACCCAAGACAACGACTTCTCAACCACCAATGTACATGACCAATACATACTAATTTCACCCAAAGCAGTCAAAATCGGGATTTTGATCGTAAAATCGTAGGATTTTAGGATTTTACTTAGGGATTCCGATCCTGATTTTACTATAAAATCGGTGGACCTTAAAATCGTTTAAAATCGGGATTAAAATCGTAAAAATCGTAAAATCCTACCAAAATCGGGATTAAAATCGTATGAGAACAAAATAGGCTATTTGAGCAAATTTTAAAAAAGCGGAACTGATTTGGCAAAAAGGGCAATGATGGGGATCTTCTCAAATATTTTTCCTATTAAAAAAAATTGAAAAGAAAAAATAACCAAATTATGGCTCGGTAATTCTCTTTCCCTTCATCCCGTTGAATTCGTCGGCAAAATAGTTTTCCTAATATTGTACGTGCAGAAGAATTAATATCATTATTAACTCATTAAATGATTAATTAATACATTTTTGCCAAGCCACTAGCATTAATTATTCAATTAGAGTTCATATATTATTTGTTTTAAATCATGATTAACATACAATGTTGAAATTAACTTGACCAGAGTACTACTTTGAGTTAAACTACCTAAACACAACATGAAAAATAAGAGCCAAGCTCCATGAGCTCTATCATTTCCTTGTGAATTATTTTAGTTACGCATTAAGGGGTCGTTTGGAGAACATGATTTGGATTATGGATTTATTGAATCCATAGATTTAGCAAAATGTTATGTTTTTTTGCTACTCTTTGTATCGTGGATTGTAGGTTTAGAGATTTTAAATGTCTAAAATCTAGAGATATCAAATCTCTCCTAATTAGAGAGATTCTACATTTTTATTTTAGAAATTTTATCTCTCTTACTCTATCTCATCTTTTTTTAATTTATCCCACTAAATATCCTTATTGATAAAATTTTCAATATTTTTTTAGCCAATTTAATTATTTTGGTTAAGGATAAACATGTCATTTTATAAACAAATATAATTTCTTTTTTTATTGTACGTTAACAATGGCAGTTATCAAACAATGAATATTTTCAAATCTTTTTTCAAAAATCTGGAGAGTTCAAATCTGTGGATTGTTTAGAATCTAGAGATTTAGACTCTAATTCTCCAAACGAGCCCTAAATAACAATTAAAATGATGATCTTGGAACATTAATCTTGAGAATTATCATTTTCAATGTTATGTGCCTTTGTGTTAGTAATCGTTTACCTTATTAATATGATTATATCTTAGTTTCTATATGGAACTTAAAATTCTACGATTTTACGATTCGATTTTACGATTCCGATTTTACCACAGTTTTCGATTTTTGGTAAAATCCCGATTTTGACTACTTTGATTTCACCCATATCATACATGTTATTGAAGTTGCCAAAAGGGTAAATTAGTCTTCACACTATCCTCGTGGTCCCTGCTTTTCAATCTTTTCCCAGCGAATCTCGAGCTATAACACCAGCGAAGCAGCTACGCCATTTACTCCTTTGTACTATTTCTGACACCTTCTTTGCTTCCCAACCACCTAGTCACCCTTCAAATACTTCCAACACTCCAGAAAAGAGACCACAAAGCCTAGCACAAAAACCCTAGAAATTTTGGGGAAACTCAAATCCCGCAAATCAGCACCTTCTTCTTCAAATGGATGCTCGAATCCTTCAATGGTGGACGATTTGAAGGCTGCGAATGTTCCAGGAGATGTCGAGAAGAAAGAATCGGCGATGGTGGTCGTGGGTCGATCTTCGTCAGACGGAGGAGGCTGAAGAAATCGCCCTCCCCTCGAGGAATCGATCGCCTGCTTTCCGTCTTCCCCGCTTCTCGTGTTGCTGAGAGCCTTCACCAGCGCCGAATCGAACGCCCCATGCTCGAGTAGAGGAGAATCACCAGCGCCGAGAGCGTTCTTCGTCGGGAGACTGTTTAGGGTTCTTGGTTTCCTTTCGCTGAATTCTCTCTCGTCGATAAGATAAGGTAAATGTGGTTGGTGAAATGGCCACACAAAATTTACCTTTTATTTCATTTTAGATTTTTAAAATAAGAAACAAATAAAGAGCCACGTCGCAGAAGAAAGAGTCACATCCGCATACACATCAGCGTTGATCTGTCATTCCGTTAAAATTTAACTGTCAACAAAAGTCAACGATAACAAAATCATAGTTCATGACACAGATGAAATATTGAAAACAATAAGACACAAGTGACATTTTTGGAATAGTTCGGGTGTTGTAGTGGTATTAAAAAAAAAATAGCATTGGGCTTTTACCAATTACCAGCTTTTCCATTGGGCTATTCTCAACCCGAATCCACCCCGCTCAGGCGACAGGGCGGGAATTCCAACATAGATCGCTGTTTCCCGGTCCCGGATCCCGGGAGGTGAGAGTTTTCTTTAGTTCCTGCCCCGGTGCAAACCTAATTACCAGTTCCAACAGAGCGATCTTCCGACCTTAGTTCAGAACTATCTTCGTCTCTCTCCGTCTTCATCTCCATGAACCCTTCTTCAGCTCCACCTCCCAATCAGCTTCACTTCCCGTATACCCTTCCAAACCCTAATCCTACCCCTAATATCTATTTCCACCCACTTCACCGCCCGCCGCCGCCACCGCCGTCGTGGCAACCACCTCCGCCTCCTCGTCCACTGCCCGCACCTCCGCTGCAATCCCAATACCCCACTGTCGCCGTTCCCGTAGCCACTCCAGTTCGTGATGTCTCCGCTGCACTCTCCTCTTTGACTGACCTCGTATCCCTCGCACGGCGAACTCTCGGCTCAGTCTCCACCCTTATCGATTCCGATCCTTCACCTGAAAATCTGAATGAGGCACTCGTTCCCTGCCTTTCCAATCGTCACCATCTCATTCCGGCGGAGTCACTCTTCCTTCACTCGCTTCGCTGCCCCTCTCCGGTATGTGAGGATCCTACTTCTCTTGTCCAATCCCTTCACTACCCAAAAACGCTGAACTATCAGTTCCCCGTTAAAACTCCCTTCGACGAATCATCCGAGCAGCATAAGAAAGGCCAACTATGCCTCTCTTTAGAAAGTTATTACCGGGAGTTTAGGTCCAACTTTTTCTATGAAGATTGCCCAAGTGCTGTTAACTTGAGGGAGTTGGAGAATTCAGGGAAAATGGTTACCGTGCCTAGTGATTTATGGGTTGAGTGTGCCGATTTTGTTGGTATTAGGGAGGCGAGCAATCAGATTTTCGATGAGAAGATGTTTAGAATACTCTCATCTGAATCATGGGCGATTAAGAGGGATGTTGAAGGTTGGGTTGATTATCCTACGCAGTACTCATATGGTATATTTTGTGCAGTTTTGAGGTTAAATGTGGTGAAGATGAATGATTTGGGTCGTTGGATTATTAGCAATTCTCCTAGTTTCGGTTCGGTGATTGATAAGTACATGAGAGATCACATCTCTGTGCTTTCTGCGCTGTGTCTGAAAGCAATCAGAAAGGAAGCTTTGGCCTTGGTGGGCACCGATATTAGCATTGCAAATTTATCTTTTCCCTGTCCAAACTCTGTTCAAGCTTTAAAGTGGCTTGCATCTCAGCTCTCTGTGTTGTATGGGGAACTTAATGCAAAATCCTTCACCATTTACATTTTTAAGCAATGCATTCTCGTGGCTGCGAAAGAGGCGGTGCTGTTCAGTTTGAATCTGGATTTGAAAGGAATCTCAACAGATTTAGATGAGAATGGGAGTGAAAATATGAAATATGTTCAGTTTGGAGAGCCTCTTGAAGGGTGCAGTGACCAGGAAAAATATAAGAAAGCCAAGTTCAATGCTGAGGAAGATAACATTGGTATATCACAAGTGGCAGCCGCAGTTGCTGCATTGCATGAGCGGTCCTTACTAGAGGCAAAAATTAAAGCATTGCAGAGTTCTCAACTACAACCATCTTACCAACGGTATGGTGTGAGTCCTTTCTATCTTGATACTTGCATATAGGCTCTAAATGATAGAGTTTCACCTGATGAGCACAATTGAGTGGAATTATTAGACTTATTCTTGTCCCTCAAACTACATGTTTATGTTGTACATGTTACTTGTGAAGATTTGACATTTTAGTTTCACTGGGTAAGTGATTTGATTCTCTGAGTTGGTAAAAGTGTTCCTGAGATTATTATACTCACGCATTGTAGGGCAATCGAGCATACTTATGTGTCTGCTAGAGCTGCTGAAGAGCGGAAAAAGCGTCCCAACTACCAAGCCATTATTGAGCATGATGGTTTCCGTAAGCGATCATCCAACCAGGTATTAGATGTAACCAACTTGCTGTCTCCATGCACTGTATACTGTTTTATGTTAGACCATCTTGGGGATTTAATTGTTTTTTGTACAAATTTGTACTGTCTCATTTCTAATTTGAGTTCTGCCCCTCACCAAACAATATGACTTTTATTTTGTATGTTTTTGCTCGCCGTGGATCTTATGCATTTCGTTCACACTACATTGCTTCTTTTTTTGGCACAAGGAAACAAGCAGGCCGAAGACAAAGGAGGAGCTATTGGCTGAGGAAAGAGATTACAAACGTCGCCGAATATCATATCGCGGGAAGAAGACAAAGCGAACAACTCTGGAGGTATCAATTGTCCATTATGTTTTCCTTTCAAAAAATTTGGAGTTTGTTGTTAATGATGCACAGTCTTCTGTTGGTGAACAAATTGTTAATAGGTGATGAGGGATATCATAGATGACTGTATGGAGGAAATAAAGCAAGCAGGAGGCATTGGCTGCTTTGAGAAACCAGTTGAAGAAGAATGTGTTCCTTCTGGATATCTTCATGACCCCAAGGTTGTTTCTATGGATATCGGTGGTGGACATCCAAAAATTAGTGAAGAATCATCAAAAGTGGTTAGAGAAACTATAGATCATCATCAGAGACAATCCAACTATCAACATAAACAAAGAGCTACTTCAACCTCTGAGTATCCTTTGTACAAAGATATGGAACCTAGGAAAAACAGGGATCATGGCAAACGTGTCAGAGATTGCAGGAGTCCAGAAAGGCAGAGAAACCGTGATAATGCACATGAGTCGTCTGGAGGCAAGCATCATCACATCAGGTCTAGTAAGTCCAACAGTCGAATTGACCAGTCATTGTCCATTGATGGCTCATATTCTAGCAATATCCCCCATTTGCTTAATAAGAAACATAAGGTGTCTGATAAGGGAGACAGTGACAGAAGAAACTCGTATTCACGTCACCGTAGTTCAAATCATGAGGCACCAGGTTTTGAGGATAGATATGATCCCACAAGATCTCCTTGAGAAACTGAAGGCATGATGAACGAGTTGAAAGTTCTGCAGCATGTTGTTCCTCACCAGCTCACAAACTTTTCCACCCAGGTTATGATGTTGGGGGTCACTGATTACTGGGTAAGTTGTTCTGGTTGATTTTGGAGCATGTTACATGTGTGATACTTTGTTCACCGGTCTTGACTTGCAGTGTTTTACACAGCTGTGCAGTAGAAAAAAGTCGTGAGGATTCGACAGTTTTATATCCACTTCTGTATCCACCCCTATATCCTTGAAGCGTTTTGTGCTTTTAATGTATCGGCTTTTTGCTTCTGCTGAGTTTTTGTTCTAGCCTTCTAGGTTAGGTCATTGATATTAGTTCTTTACTTCTTTTAGGGGCGATAAAACACATAACAGTCACATGTTAGAGCAATAGGGTAGTTCCATATACTAACAGATGTTGTACATGTGCATTGGCATAGATATAGAGGTGAAAGCATTTATTTTCTAGGGTGAAATTGTTTTACAGATAGCATCCTGTTGCACGTAGAAGATTATGGGGCAGAAACACAGTACCTGGAATACATGAACCTGCAGGAGGGAGTAATGGAGGGAACAATACCAGTAATAGTAGTACAGACTTGAAGTATCGATTGCTTGTTTCAATGTGAACTGCAGGGGAGTTGGATACTCCATATATGGGAATTCAAAGTTTTCATTTTATGTGAAAAATTGGAGGGAACGAGCCCAAATATTTGAATAGGGTTCAGATGACAGACTCGTGGGAGCAAATAGTGTTTTGTTGGATTTGAGAAGTTGTAACACTTCTTGGATGTGTGATTTTTTTTTTTTTTTTTGTTGAAGTGGATTGTGGAATGATTGATCGGTCTTCCGATATTTTGACTTCCCTAGAGACGAGTTGATTAGAACGAGATCGTAACGTTACAGGTTTAAAAATATATCTGTTTGGTGAAGTTGGTTATTAGATCAATTGAAATCCAGGTAACACTGTGGGAAGTCGATTATTGTCGTTGGGGTTTGAATTTGCAGAGAATTCATTTTCTCTGCAGTAGTTTTTTGAAGCAAAACACTCTTACTGCAAGAAGAAAAATTGCATGCTCAGTGTTCATAACAGCTGCAGAAGCTCAAGTTATGTCACAACTTACACACACAAAAAAAACACTTCCTACATCACAGAAACATCTGTAACAATATTCCATACGGCAGAACTTACTGCTTTTTCCACAAATACTATATTACATCGCATTGTACAGAAAGATGTTAGACACTACAAGGTAACTTCGGTAATCCTCTCAAAAGGCTCCTGGTCCCTCCAATGGGTTAGTAGCAGCAGCCCCAGCCAGCTAAGATTTGCTGAGCTGGTCAAGCTTCGACCGTCTGATGAGCATTCCCAGTCCCCACTGCCTCTAAGAAGCGCAAGCAGATGGTACGAAGCATGCCAGGAACCCTGGCACTTTCGTCTGCAAATAGTAAAAAAAGGAAACCACTGTTAGAAAAAAGGAAACCAGAAGGCTGGAACTGAGACATTACCGTATCCAGAAACATATATACCCTTTTGGAAGAACGGCGCAATAGGTCAGGTGGGATTTTGTAGAGGTCCTCGTCGACCGCCTTGGGAGGCCTGACCGGAACCCTGGGCCGCTGTGGAACGGCGTCGTTGGAGGTTGTTGACGAATGTTTCTGCTTGTGGTTGTGCTGACGTTGTGGCTTGCGTGGCGGCTCCGCCGCCGTGGGTTCCGTCGCGTCACGAACTCTGCCATGCTTCCTGTCCTTAACATGCGCCGCTGGTGGCGCCGCCGCACCTCGCTTCTCTCTCAATCTTGTCTGCCCAATCAAAACCTCTAGCGTCAACTTTTCAAACCCACGCTTTGCTTTTCCCATAACATAATAATAATAATAATAATTAACATTTGATAATAAAATGATGCCTACGTGTCGCGCAGAGGGCGGAAGAAAAAACGTAAATTCAGAAACCAACAAATCTCCGCAACAGAATCCGCGTTGAAAAAATGACACCAGACTTTGACTTTTGCTTTCCAATCCCAACTTGATATTTTTCAAGTTTCACTTCCCACATAATTTATTAAAAAAAAAATTATTTTCCACAGAAGCAAACTCCCATTCACATCGGTAGGCTCTCAGTGGTGGTCGGTGAGGAGCTCCGACCAAAGATTATTGATTTGCACAGAGAATTGGAAAAGAATCTGCTGACCTTTCGCTGGGTGTGATTGTGGCAAGGTGGGGCCGGCGTAGGCTTCTGATAATCAGCGGCGGCGTAAAAACGATGGTGATCGGCGGCGGCGGCGAGGGGGCGGTCGCATTCGCCGGAGGAGTTACTGTAACGAATGAGGCCAGCCTGCCTAGCGCAATCGAAATACTGGGTGATTGGCAGTTCGTTCGCGGTTTTCCAGTCTCCGAAAGCCGGTATTTGTCCGCTCCTCCTCCATTCCTGAAAACGATAAAAAAAAAAATAACAGAGCACGGTGTGAAAAGAAAAACAGAGCATATTCACGGAGAGGAGAAAACAGAGTAAAGGAAGAGAACACCATACAAAAGGAAGAAGAAAAGAGAGGGTCTGTTTTTGTTACCTCCATGTTGATGCCAGATGAAGAAGAATCAGAAGACAGAATCAAAAAAGAGAGTTTCTTTTTGGGAGCCTGAAGAAGAAGCGTGCAAAGTTGGGAGTTTTACAGAGAGCCCAAAAAAGGTAGGAAACAGAAAGGAGACGACCATAAAAGGTAAAAAGGAAACAGACTTCCGGGTATTAAGATGGAGAGAGAGAGGAGGGGAGTAAGAATCCAGAAGAGGAAGGTTGTTTGTTTTAAATCTACACATAATATAATACACCGAAGGGAAAAACGGGAGCCCCATTTCAAATTTCCTGCAACGAGAGTGAAAGTAGGAAGGACATTTTGGTCTTCACAATTACTTTTTTTTATTCATTAAAAAGACACGTACTGGGATTCGAACCATGACCATTTTAAAGAAAAGCAAGGATCATAACCAATCACACTAAGTACATTTGCTGTATCTTTTTAAATTAAAACCATATAATAGTAGGGAGGAAAAAACCCTTCCCCCATTTCAAATTCCCTGCTCCAGGAGCGTTTGTAGAAAGGGTAGAATAGAGAGTGTCAATTTTTTTCTCTTTCCTCTGTGGAACGGGCCAACTTACCGTACACATGCGGAATTAAACGGGTCCAGGAGTGTCAATTTTTTCTTTAAGCCCTTTTATTTCTCCCTGGTGATAAAATATATATGAAAAGGCAAAAACAATACTCATTTTTATTGCTAAAAATAAAAAATTTAACAATAAACTAATGCATGGTATCTAATGGGCTAACCGCTAACCATAAATAAAAGAGTTGAATGGGTCCGACCTACACGGGATTTGGCCATCAAGTAAAACAAATGAACATCATTGGTTTGTCATTCTAAAACAAGCTATTTTCTCTTACATAATATATATCATGCTATTATTTTATATCTTAGTGGCTAAAATATAATGTATTTTAAAGTTATTCAATGGTTCAACCTCGACCAACCCAATTAGTCCAATTTTTATCATTTCAAATAGGAATGGCAATGGGGCAGGTCCGGGGCGGGTATCTCGATACCCATACCCGCCCCATGGCAGGTCGGGTCCAGGTCGAGTAATTTATCACGGGGCGCGGGTAGGGGCAGGTCGACCCGTTGGGTATGTAATTATGCAAAAAATATTAGAAACATTCGTTATTTTCATTAAAAGACCAAGAAAGAAACCATAATATGATAAAATGTAGTTAAATTATTGAAGAAATTGAGGTTTTCACTAAATTACAACTTTATTATAGCTAAAATATAATGTAATAAGAGGAAAATCCTAAGTAATTTGACTAAGATTATATGTAATATAGGCAAGAACGGATCGAGAATGTGGCGGGTCAGGGCAGGTCGGGTCGATGAGAGGTACCCATGCCCGCCCCGCCTACGGGGCGGGTTTGACCTGCTCCAAAACAGGTCAAACAGGTAGGGTAAATCGGGTCAGGTCGAAATTGCCATCCCTAATTTCAAATATATATTATATAATTATTTGATATCATAATGATCAAATTATAGTACATTTTATAGGGAATCGTTTGGTATTTGTTAGTAAAAAACTAAACAGAACGATCTATTTGGTTATTTTAAACATTAAAACGATCCTAAACATTTTCAGTTCCTTTTGAATTTTTATGGTTTTATTCTCGAATAAGTGATGTGTAAATGGCGAATTGCAGTCATCTCTTTTCTTTCACTATTTGTTATTTTCAAATAGAAAGTTTAAAAAGTAAAGAATAATTAGAATTTGGCATGGTCGGTCAAACATGCTGAATTTCAAGTTTTGGCCCGTTTTGATCAAGTCTAATTTATAATCACATGGTTCCCTGATACCCGATAAAAATCTCAATCCAAACCAGTTTGGCAGGTGAGTCTGTGTTTACCACCATTTTCTACGATACGACAACGGCAGTTCCTATCCCAAATTGTGTTATTCGTTCTTGATTTCCTTAGATTTTATCATGGCCTAACAAAAACCAGAAAGCACAATGACGACAAGATGAAAGTTTTATAAAGCAAATTAATCGACCAACGGGCCGAGTAAAAGCTAGCAACAATTGTGAGATGCTCATTTCCCGAAAACCGACGAGATAGGCGATTTTTTATTCGATTTTCTGGAATTCGGTTTCTATAAAACTTACTCCACCTCATCATATTACCAGAAACAATATTGTTTCACAAGGTAACATGTACTTGATTTTGGTTCATAAGGCCGATTTTTGATTCATTGCTTCATTCATGTCTCTTTCCTGCTAAAATTCACTATTTTTATCACGAATTTCCCAAAAAAAAAACTATACAACAATAAGTTATACACCCCATTATATTATCAAATTTCATACCTCACCTTCTTCCGGCCAACTGGCCGGGGCCCACACTAGTTAAATAGAGAGAGTGGGTTTGTTCAGCTTCCTTATAGGAGGAAGAGGATAGCAGCAAAGCGACTCAGAGTGAAAATGAGGAAAGACCAATACCCATAGTCCAGAGAGAGAGAGAGAGAGCATGAATAGAAAATGGCTTCTTGTTGTTGGGGCGGGGTCTGAACTGCGTCGCGTCCAAGGTGTTGTAAATTTAGTCAACCTTTTTGGGGAATATATAACAACAATCTACTACCCATAATATAATAGGGTAAAGTAAACTTCTTTTTTAGTTTAGATTGTACAGATTCTTTTAGATCTGATCAAAAGGCAAAACCACTTGATCACGAGATTTTGTTAGATAATTGGAATGGGAAGATGAAACAAATCAAGGAAAAACATATAGAAAGAAGGAAAATCCTTTTTCTTGCGACCTGCCCGCTGATCAATGACCATACATAACTTACTGTGTATGTATAACTTATTCTTATCATTTACGGAAGATTATTAATATTCCCATCAATAAATTATAAGAAGCTTGCTTTGGGGCCGGGCTAAAAATAAGGCGCATTATCATGGGTTATGCATCCATCAGTAACTAAATTTGGACATTTCATTTAGAAAATCTAGATCTAAGGATAAAGAATTAAAGGTCATTTTTAATTTCTCTAGCTTTTTTAATTGACTCATATCTTCTTCATTTTAACTCGGATTTTAATTTTTTTTTTGCACAGATGGAACGAGTTCGTTGTGTTCTACAAAATGAGACCCATTTTCAATATTTTTTGAGAAAAAATGTTCTTGCATCTCGGTACCAACTACATACCATATGGTATCCTCTTCGTTTTTAATTCGTTTTTGAAAATGTTTGCACAGAAGGATCGAGTTCATCATGATCTATTGGATCTACAAATTTCTGGGTGAACAAATTACATGACCAAAAAATACCACACAATACCACCTTGGTAAGGGGTGGTATCTTGTGGTACACAATGTTAAAAGTCGTAAATGACAGTTAATATACTTCTACTATCATGTATTCAACCATCCTACGGTCTTGGTTTGTTCATACACCATGGTACGCTTTTCAAATCATAGGTATGCTCTTATTTCAATACCAATCAATACCATATGGTATAGACTGGTAAAAAATGACTCAATTTTTTTTATTCAAAAAGTATATCAAAGTGGATATCATTTTGAAGAACACAATTAATCTGATCTAACTGTGCAAAAAAAAATATCGACTTAAAACGAGTGAGAAATCGTCCGTCAAAGATTAAGGAGAGGAAAATTAAAGGCTTTCCAGGAGAGAGAAGGATGATGATGTCATGCTGATGTGGATGGGTTACTCACCATAAGGTTACTGACCTGATTCGTTCCCCTTCTCGCGTGCTGCCTTTGCGTTGCACTACTGTATGATCTGGCGCACGCCACTTAAAAATAAATTATAAGGAGCTTTATTTCTTCATTTTAAAGTAAAAAATTTAAAAAATTTTGCACAAAAAAATGTGACTATCCGTTGATAATTTTGGGCAACTTCACACATGGTCCGAATTCACGATGATTACAAAGGCATACTGAAAAGCACCAAGATAATGATTGCATTCAATAATTTCATCTTCCAATTTAACTTAATTGATCACCCGCTTTGTGGCCCTCTCTATACTTGGAGCATCCTGAGGGATGATCCCTCTCTCTCGCATTGATAGAGCCCTCATCTATTCTCAGTTTGACTAGGATGTCGTTCAGGGTCCTCTGTGCTGTCGAGCTAATTGAATAAACCACAAAAAATTATGTCCAAATTAAAAATTCAATGGAATCAAAATTATGTGGTTTCATGAGAACTCCCTTGTTATAAACGCGCTGCTATGGATCGGGAAATCGCTGGAATCGACAAAGTAAGAATACGAAAGCGAGAATCGAAAAACACAGACACACGATTTACGTGGTTCACTAACACGATGTGTGTTAGCTACGTCCACGGGCGAGAGAGAGCCAGTTTCACTATATCGAGGAGATTACAGATTACAGAGGAGTATGAGAAGTATTTATAGTACTTCTCCATGTGGGTCTAAACCTAATCCAATCTGACAAAGGAAACGATTACATACCAGGCCCAGAACCCGAACCCAAATAACATTGAGCCCATACACCGTGGGCCGGGGGCAACACCGGAGCGTTGCCCCTGGACCCCACTCGCTGACCGGGCAGCGACACCCTCGATTACCAGTCGTAGCGGCTGATAGTCCGATTCAAGTCACATCAACAAATCTCTACCTTGACTTGAATCCTCTTCCTCTGAAATCTCTGATGTACTCTGCTCCTTCTATCTCTCTCCCGCCATCAATGCTCCGCAGAGCGGAGTCACCCACTCAAGACATTCTGCAAGTCCAAGCAGTGTTGGAACTTGCCATGTGGAACCGGCTTCGTGAACATATCAGCAGGATTATCCGCGGTGCCAACTTTCTTCACCTTAATCCTCTTCTCTGTCCTCAAGAAATGATACCTCACGTCGATGTGCTTAGTCCTCTCATGGTGGACTTGATCCTTGGCCAAGCATATTGCACTCAAACTGTCGCAATACACCACTGCCTGATCATGATGTAGAACCAGATCACCAACCAGTCCCTTCAACCATATTCCCTCCTTAGCAGCTTCTGTCAACGCCATATACTCTGCCTCGGTAGTAGACAATGTCACCGCCGACTGCAAAGTTGCCTTCCAGCTCACAACAGAACTCCCAAGAGTGAATACATAACCGGTCATCGATCTCCTTGTGTCAACATCTCCAGCATAGTCCGAGTCAGAATACCCAGACACCAAGCACTCTGTATCACTTCCGAAGCTAATCCCCACATCAGGTGTACCCTTAAGGTACCGGAAGATCCTCTTCACATCCTGCCAATGCTCCTTTCCAGGTTGTATCATAAACTTGCTGACAACACTAACAGCATGTGCAAGATCAGGTCTAGTGCATACCATAGCGTACATCAAGCTACCTACTGCACTAGCATATGGAACTCTCGACATGTACTCCTTCTCAGCCTCTGACTGCGGTGCATAAGCTGCGGATAGATGAACATTTGAAGCACTAGGAGTATTTAAGGGCTTTGCTGAAGACATGCCAAACCTCGACAGTATCTTCTGGATGTAGCTCTTCTGTGACAAGAATAGCTTCTTCTTCGACCTGTCCCTGTAAATCTCCATACCCAAGATCTTCTGAGCAGCTCCCAAATCCTTCATCTCAAACTCAGCACTGAGAAGCCCCTTTAACTTCTGAATATCAGACTTTAACCTCGCAGCTATGAGCATATCATCCACATACAAAACTAGATATATCATCGAACCATCCTCTGCCTTGCTGTGATATACACAACAATCATATGGACTTCTGTTGTAGCCCAGCTCAAGCATGTAACTGTCAAATCTCTTGTACCACTGCCTCGGAGACTGCTTAAGTCCATATAAGGACTTCTTCAGCTTACAAACATAGTCTTCTTTTCCAGGAACCTCGAATCCTTCTGGCTGAGTCATGTAAATTTCTTCCTCCAACTCTCCATGTAGGAAAGCTGTCTTCACGTCTAGCTGCTCGAGCTCCAAGTCATAATGTGCCACTATTGCTAGTAGCACTCTGATCGAAGTATGTCTAACCACTGGTGAGAAAATCTCATTGTAATCAACTCCTTCCCTCTGCGAAAGCCTCGTGCAACCACCCGAGCTTTAAATTTCATGCCCTCTTTAGAAGTGATTCCTTCCTTCTTCTTGTAGATCCACTTGTTTGTCACAATCTTCCTTCCCTGTGGTCGTTTGACTAGCTCCCAAGTCTGATTCCTGTCATGGGATTCCATTTCATCTCCCATTGCGACAAGCCACTGATCAGCTTCACCACCCAAAATTGCTTCTCTATAGGACTGTGGCTCTCCTGCATCCACTTCTTCAGCAACCTGAAATGAATATGCCACCATGTCCTCGAAGCCATACCTCTGTGGAGGTACTCCTGCAGTCGCTCTCTTCGGTTTACCGGAAGCAATAGACTGTTGAGCTCGTGCACTGAACTCTGAAGTTTCTGGCTCTGCAGAGACATCCTCATCATGTTGATCTTCTCCACCTTGGTGCTCAAACTCACTCTCTTTGAGAGTTTGCAACTCCACCTATTTATCAACATTCCTGCTACCTTCAACAACAGTAACCTTCAACATGGGGTTAAACATAGACTTCTCATCAAATATCACATTTCTACTGAGTTTAACTCGATGCTCAGTAGGTGACCATACTCGAAATCCTTTAACTCCATCTCCGTAACCCACAAAAACACCCTTCTTTGCCCATGGGTTCAGTTTACCCTCATCCACATGATAATAAACAGGACACCCAAAAACTTTCAGTGAAGAGTAATCAGCAGGCTTACCATACGACACCTCATAAGGAGTCTTCAACTCGATACCTGTGTGAGGTCCACGGTTGATCAGGAAGCACGCCATGTTCACTGTTTCTGCCCAGAATCTTCTCTCTAGTCCAGCATTAGAGAGCATGCACCGTGCTCTCTCCAACAATGTTTGGTTCATCCTTTCTGCAACGCCATTCTGCTGGGGTGTATCTCTCACGGTCCGATGACGGGCAATCCCTTCATCCTTGCAGAATTCGTTGAACTCAGAATTACAGAACTCCAGACCATTGTCCGTTTGCAGCTTCTTGATCTTCTTCCCAGTCTGATTCTCCGCCAATGTCTTCCACTGCTTGAACTTCGTGAAAGCCTCACTTTTCTGCTTCATCATGAAAATCCAAGTAAATCTCGAATAATCATCAATAATAGACAGAAAATACCTGTTGCCTCCAATGGATTCACCCCGTGAAGGACCCCAATAGTCGGAGTGGAGGTAATCCAGTATCCCCTTCGTCCGGAGGATACCCTTCTTGGGAAACTTGCTGCGATGTAGCTTCCCAAACACACAATGCTCGCAGAATTCCAAATTCTGCACCTTGTGCCCGCAAAGAAGATCCCTCTTCGATAGAACTTGCATCCCCCGTTCACTCATATGCCCCAGTCTCATGTGCCAGAGAGTGGTCATATCTTCCTGATGAAACTGAGACGATGCAACTGCAGCAGAACCAGACAACACAGACCCTTGTAATGCATACAAGGTCCCACGTTTCACGCCCTTCAATACCTTCCTTGAACCTTTGCAGACATACACAACTCCACCTTTTCCTTTGA